AGGATAGAAAGCATTTTCCATGGATGCTTTAAAATCTTTCTGCCAAGGAGCAGCTAGTGGTTTCAGAGTTCTGATCTTGCAGTAAGCAGCCCAAGGCAGAATGCATAACGACACTAGGGCTTCTGAATACTTATTATTTAAATATAATAAAATAAATTATTAAAAAAATTAATCTAAAAGCATGCAAAACACAAGTTTAGATTATATTATTACAGTCAGCAAACAACATTATTCTGTCAGATTCCTATAGCTTCTACATGTTCACTCTTGATTTCTGTACTTCTCAGTTGCAGACTGCTAACAAACAGCTCACTGCATGCACTGCACTGCAGAGCAAATGGCAAACAGCTCTGTATTAAAGGACTCACCCCTAAAATAAATGCCTCAACTTTGCTACACTTCATCCAAACTTGATATCTAATAATCGAGAGCGAGGTTAATCAAAGAAAAATCTAAGCAGAATTCCTGAAAGAGAGATGGGAGAAATGTCAGCATACAATTTCTTGGTGGCAATACAGACGCAATCGCAATCCAAATTCACAGCCCTAAAGTCCACTCAGACCCATCGCCTGAATTACGCTGTAGCGCAGGGTAGAGCTGCCCTGTGGGCTTCACAGACTAGCTCTTACAGAGCAGAGAGCACTGTCTTTCTCCCGCTTGGAAGCAGTACTTCCATGCAAAGCAGAAGGGAAAGCAGGCCCCATGAAATCAAAACTAGAGGTGGCCTGTCAAGCTTTTTCACGGGAAGGCAGTGAACACAGGTCTGGGTCTGTGTGAGCATGCAGGTGTGCGTTTGTGAATTAAGTGTCACAGTAATTGCTCAGATGAAAAGCAAGACTCAACTTGGTAACATGTTTTTCTTAAAACTTGCTTCTGAAAATCATACAGTTATAAAATATCACTTACTTTATTACACAGCACACTCATACTATGTAGGCTTTTGCCTGAGCAAAGCCAAAATGAGAAATAAAACAACAGATGTAAAACGTTCAACAAGAAGCATGATCTTCAAAGTCTTTCTCAGTCATAGCCTCAAAACATTTTCATTTATTTTAGGAACTAAAGATTGACAAATCAATTTAACCAACAACAGCAGCTGCAGACACCTGGAGTTCAGCACCTGCTATGAATATCCAAGATTGACATTCCAAAAATAAAATTCATCTAGCCAAATAGGAAAAGAGTAATTAGCAGCTGAAGTTTTCAAGAGTAAAAATGTCCCTCTCAAGTTTCAGATGTGAGGGGAAAAATACAAGACTAGACCATGCTCAAACAACCCCATCCGTTAAATCTTTCTAAAAGGTTATAGAAATCGAGAATCAATCAAGCTCACTCTCTCAAGCCCTCACCCTCTCTAGGGAGAGAGAGAGCTGGGTCTTTTCCATCTGTTTGATGACCTACACTCTAATGGCTTTATTATGTTCTTACTAGCGGTTTGATTTTAGCTAAGTTGTAAACATCAAAGTTATGGACATCTAAAGATATTCCTCTGATTTAAAAAGAAGGGAAAAAAAGGACTTTCAGACCTCAGAATATTCAAATAATGACTGCATTATCACAATTTAGCACAAGAGAATTTTTCTTAATTAGACATCAAAACTTGTGCCAGAAAAAAAAAAAATCAAGCCTCTTTAAACATTTCTATTTTAATTTAACAAAATCGCAAAGTCC